CTTACATGTGTGCCTGTCTAATTCAATCTGCATCTCTCTGACTCCAGTTGAAAGTTTTCTGCTTTTGAGAGCTCATGTGACTACATTGGGTTCACCCAGGTAATCCAGGATAATCTCACTATTTTAAGATCCATAACCTTAATTACATCTGTAAAGTCCCATTTGCCATGTAATATAACTTATTGATAGGTTCCAGCGATTAGGACATGGGCATTTTGGGGGGGTAAGGTAGCAGTATTCTGCCTACTATATGTATGTGTATATATATATATTAATAAATTTTGTACTATTAAAAATATTTTTATAAATGTTCCATCTTTTTTATTTGTATATATATATATATATATATATCTAAACTATATATTAATAAATTTTGTACTATTAAAAATATTTTTATAAATGTTCCATCTTTTTTATTTAATATCTTTGTGTAACATATCCATGTTGATGAGTAATTCACTCATTTTTACCAATATATTCCACTATTAAATTATCCATACTTTGGTCAATGAATTTTAGTTTGTTTCCAGTTTTCTCTATTATGAACAATGTTGCTGTAAGCATTTTTCAATTTCTGTTGGTACTCTTAGTATCAATATCTACAAGTTGAATTTCCAGATCATACAGTATAATTATCTTTCATTTTACTTGGTATACCAGGTGGTTTTCTAGAAAGGTTGTGCCAGTTGAAACTCTCCCAGCAGTGTATAAGAGTTCCTATTGCTCTATATCTTCACTGATATTTGGGATTATCAGGATTCTTAGTTTTTGCCAATCTAGTGGGTCTAAAATGATATTGATTTGCATTTAAGCATTTTTCTGTTGGATTCCCATTGTTTTTCTTGCATGTAGATTTTTAAGATTTCTTTATTCTGGCTACTAATTTGTGTATAAATACATGTAGCAAATATTTTCTACTATGTAAATTGTCCCAATGTTCTTTATGGTGCCTTTTGATGAGCAGAACTCTTTTTATTTTAATGTAGCTGTATTTATCAATTTTTTTCCTTTAGGGTCTGTGCTGCTTTTTTGTTGTGTTACAGAAATATTTTTCTACCCCATTGTCATATTCTTTTATATTTTTTCCAGTTAAAATTAAGCCCTTCTTATTTACTCGTTAATCTACTTTAGTATGTGGTGGGAGATAGGAATCCATTTTCATTTTTTTCCCTGTATTTGTTGTCACTCATACCAGTACTAGTTATAGAATAGAATATACCATTTGATCTGCAGTGCCATCTCCCTCAAATATGTTTCTATGTTTTTTTGTTTCTTTTTGGCAGCTGCCTGGTACAGCGATTGAACCCTTGACTTTGGTGTTATCAGCACCATGTGTGTGTTTCTTTATAGGCTTTCTATTCTGTTTCAATTTGTCTGTCTTTGGACTAATACAAAATTGTCTTAACTTCTGTTGTTTAATAAAAAAAAAACCTGACATCTGGGTAGTTCAAGCTCCTCCATGATCCTCTTATTATCTATCTGGGAGTGTCTTTGCTGTTCTTGACCATTTATTTGGGTTTCGTGATATGCCCTTTTGTGACATCTGGGTAGTTCAAGCTCCTCCATGATCCTCTTATTACCTATCTGGGAGTGTCTTTGCTGTTCTTGACCATTTATTTGGGTTTCGTGATATGCCCTTTTGAAATGTTGACTGGAATTGTACTGTATTTATAGGGAGAATTGGTATCTTTATGACACCGAGTCTTCCTATTCATGAAAATGGAGTAACTCTCCATTTATTTAGGACTTTAAAATATCTTTTAATCGAATTTTAAAGATTTATGCACGTTAGTCTTGTGCATGTTAGATTTATTCCACAGTGCCTTATTGTTTGTCGTCATTGTAAGTGGTATTATTAAAGTATGTTTTTCTTCTTTTGGGGGACTAGTGCATAGAAATGCAAATGATTTTTGAATATCTTACAGACAACGACTGTCCTAAGCTCTTTTATTATTCCTAATATTTTGTCTATAAATTCTTTTAGGTTGTCTTTGTAAATAATCATATCATCTGTTAATATGTCAGTTTTGTTCATCCTTTCCTATTTGTTTTGTTTTCTTATTTTGCTGGCTAGGACTTCCAGTGGAAATGTTGAATAGGAGTGGTGATAGGTGGCATCTTTGTCTTGTTTCTGGTTTCTAAAGGGACTGCTTCCAGTGCTTCTACTTTAACAATATATACCATAGTTTTTGGTATATAGACCATATCAGGTTAAGAAAGTTCCTTCTCTTCCCAGTTCGTTAAATATACTGAATTTTAACAAATGTTTTCCCACATCTTTTAGGTGATAATGTATTTTTTTCTTTCCTTTAATCTATCAGAATAACAAATGGAATTTATAGATTTTTCTATAAAATTTTTTTTCCTGTAACCATGAGTTTAGGGGATAAACAACTTCTTCATGGTGTATCATCTATTTTCTATATCCTGCTAGATTTAGTTTTTGAAGTTTTATTAGTTTTTCCTCCATGTTAATGTGATTGGCCTGTAATTTTCTTTCTTTTTTTTTTTTCCTTTTTGTTTTTTTTCGTGACCGGTAACGGGATCGCAACCCTCGGTGTCGCGCCCGCACTGCGCTCAACCAGTGAGCAGACCGGTCTCTATATGGGATCCGAACCCTTGGCGGGAGCGCCGCTGTGCTCCCAAGCGCCGCACTCTACCAAGTGCGCCACCGGGCCAGCCCCGTAATTTTCTTTTTTAATACAGCCCTTATCTGGCTTTGTTATTAAGGTTATACTTGCCTGATACAATCATCTGAGGAAATAATTACTTTTTATTCTTGGGCAAACAGTTCAACTATACTGGTATCATCTGACTGAGTTCCAGGCACTGGAATGTGAAGTGATTTATGCTACTTCCAGGACTCGCTCATAAAAATTTTCCACACATGATCTTCCTCATTTTTCCCAGTCCGTGCTGACTTAAGAGGTTACAGGCTGAATGTGATGGTGGCATAAAACTGAAGGATCCCGAGTCTCTGAGTGATTGAATGGAACAGAACACTCTCCACCCCCTGGACAAATCACATTAGACTATAAACTAAGTAAGGAATAAACTTTTATTGTGTCACTAATAACGAACTTAGTACATTGAAGTGAAATACTGTTATGATAAAACTCTAAGATATTTAGTATTGGTTTAGTCATGGTAGGTGGGAGAGATAAGGAAACTGATATCAGAAACTGGAAAGACAGTGACCACCTATATTACACATTGGCAAAACAACTGGTTAAACTGTGACCTGCAGTATTTAAGTACCAGCTGAGGCTTAGGGAAAGAGGTGGAGTTTGTCGTGGATGTTGACTGATTGTTATTAACTGCATTTGGTAAGGTATTATAGGAAAAAACTGACCAGTTTATAAATGATGAAAAGCCTTAGAGAGTCTACAAATATGGGGTATTGAATGATTGAGAAATCTGACAGCTTCTAGACCCCAAACATGTGGATGTTGACTGATTGTTATTAACTGCATTTGGTAAGGTATTATAGGAAAAAACTGACCAGTTTATAAATGATGAAAAGCCTTAGAGTCTACAAATATGGGGTATTGAATGATTGAGAAATCTGACAGCTTCTAGACCCCAAACAGAATGAATAACATACTTATTAAGATCAGATTAAGAGCGCAATCATCCCTTCCAAATCTACCATTTAAGAGAAAAGGCATGGGTATAAGGAAGCAAAGATATAAAGCAGGTTTGAGAACTATGTCTAAGACAAAATTAACTGGACGTAGTGACTAGTATGTGGGACTGACTGGCAGCAAATGTATCAGAAGACTACTGAAGGGCTGGCTGGTTAGCTCATTTGGTTACAGCATGGTGCTGATAACACCAAGGTCAAGGGTTTGGGTCCCTGTACCGGCCAGCAACCAAAACAACAAAAAGAAGTCTACTAAGTTTCTGAGGAAATCTGCTGTCAAAAAAACCCACAGCACCTTCAAAAAAATCTTATGACTCTTGAATATAACTTAATACCACCCTTGGGCAGGAAAATGACTGCAAGAATATCTCAGTCCCTAAGAAGTTCTAGCCACTGGAATGTGGACAGAAGTGATGTATGCTACGTCCTGGTTTGGCTCATAAAAACCTCCCATGCTGCATGATCCTCCATTCTCTTTTCCCTCTCCATGGCAATTTAAAGGTTACAGGTGGAATGTGATGGTGGTATCAGATAACATCTCAAATGTGGCCAAGGGCAAGAAGAGACAAGGCAGACCATCGAGACAGGCACAGTTGAATCACAGAGAATAATAAATGAAAGGACTCCTCCCAAAAAGGAAAAGTTGCTAGTTCTCTGTAACATCCCTTTATTTCCTCTTCTTCCTGGGATGGCTGAATTAGTTTTGCAGACCTTTGCAATTATGTTGGGGCCATGTCAGCATCTCGACAATGTAACATAGGTGGAAGTGATGGAAGCCATTTATGGAACCCAGCCCATAAAAATTACCAATGTATCAATCTCCATCCTTGAAATCAATGTTGGAGATGGTGGCATCACGAGATGGAAAGATGCTGGGTTTCTTCATAACTGCATGGAACTCTGAGAGCTCCGTGTAACACCCCCTCTTTCCCCAACCACTCTGAACCATAACCTGAGCAAGCAATAACCTTTTATTTTGTTAAGCCATGGAGGTTTTAGGGTTGTTTCAGCAAGTTAATTGTCACTAACACAGGGAGTAGGCTCTCTTTTTTTGATTCTCTCGAAGAATTTGTATAAAAATGAAATCCGTTTGAAAATTTTGTAAAACTCACCTAGAAAATCATGTATGCCTGAAATTATTTGTTTTCTGAGGGGGATTTCATAATAGGCATGTGATTATTCAGGTTTGTTATTTCTTATTAGTTTTTATTTCCTTATTTCTAACACCAGCAGCAGCATCATCACCTGATGTTTTAGTCTCCTGTGGCTGCTATAACAAATTACCACAAATGTGGTGGCTTCAAATAACAGAAATATATTATCCCATAGTTCTGGAGGCCAGAAGTCCAAAATCAGTTTCACTGGGCCAAAATCAAGGTGTCAGGAGGGGACTTCCTTCCTCCTGAGGCTCTGAGGGAGAATCTGTTCCTTGACTCTTCCCACTTCTGCTGGCATTTCCTGACCACATCACTCCAATCTCTGCGTCCATGATCAATCACATCTCCTCTTATGTGGTAGCATCTTCCTCTGCCTCCTTCTTAGTGGATATAAGTGATTGCATTTAGGGTCCACACAAATAGTCCAGGATAATCTTCCCATCTCAAGATCCCTAATTTAATCACAGTAGTTTTTACCATATGCAACAACTTATCCTTCACCTTAGAAGGGATATCTCAACATGCTCCATTCTACTGGACCTCTACAAATTTCACTGAGTTAAAAGGCCCCTGAATTTTGGTTAGATTTATTTCGTACCCTGTGACATGCAAATGTCTTATCAATAAATCCAGAGTAGTTACTACTACTCCCTCACTAGGTCCAATCAGCATAATGTCACCAGTCTAATGGATCAGTGTGATATCTTGTGGAAGGGAAAGGCGATCGAGATCCCTGTGAACTACATTATAATATAGGGCTGGAGAGTTGATACATCCCTGGGATAAAACAGTGAAGGTGCATTACTGGCCTCGCCAGCTGAAAGCAAACTGATTCTGGTGGGCCTTTATGGACAGGTATGGAGAAAAAGACATTTGCCAGATCAACAGCTGCATAGCAGGCACCGGGGGATGTGTCAATTTTTTCAAGCAATTGTGGAAGGGAAAGGCGATCGAGATCCCTGTGAACTACATTATAATATAGGGCTGGAGAGTTGATACATCCCTGGGATACAACAGTGAAGGTGCATTACTGGCCTCGCCAGCTGAAAGCAAACTGATTCTGGTGGGCCTTTATGGACAGGTATGGAGAAAAAGGCATTTGCCAGATCAACAGCTGCATAGCAGGCACCGGGGGATGTGTCAATTTTTTCAAGCAATGAAACCACATCTGGTGCAGCAGCTGCAGTTGTAGTCATCACTTGGTTAAGCTTACAATTTTTTAATAATGTCCTAACATTATTGTGGAAATGCAAATGCCACCACAGAGGAGTAAAAGTTCCTTATTCACCTGTTATTTATCTTCTGGGACTTTCTTATGTACACATACAAATATACCCTCTCTGTTGGTTTTCCAAAAATATACATATAGGATAACATTGTTTTGCAATTTGCTCTTTTCACTCAATAACACACCGTGGACCCCTCTCGCTAGGTATACACAGACTTGACTCATGTTTAATGGCTGCATGCTCAGTGAAATGTAAATACTGCAATTTATTTATCCACTCTCCTCAGGATGGCTATTTAGGTGGATTGCATTATTTTGCTATTATAAGTAATGCTGAAATAAACATCCTTTCCTATAACTTAAATATAACATATAAAATGCAAATTATAAATTTAATATACATATTAACTTGCACTTGTGCAAATTTCTCTGGGCCTGATTCCCAGGTGAAAGGAAATGCCCCACCTTTTACCTTTTTCTTTATGACAAATTTCTGATAAAATTCCTTTTTAACCAAGGAATGACTTCAGTTTCAAAATTTGCTCAATGCATTCAGCTTCCAGTAGCTGTCAGCTCACACTTTATGTTAGGACTTGGTAAACTTGAGGACTGAAAGGATTTCTCGGCCTGCTTGCCTGGAAAGTGCAATAGTCCCCTGAAGACCTCTTGTCTTCATTGTTTTCAAAATCTCTTCTAAAATAAAAATTGAAAGGTAAAATCCAATTAAATTATTTGGTGATGTGTATGGTCACTAAACAGCTTAATAAGATGGTAAACACAGACTTTACAAATTATATTCACCTGACAAAACAAGGTATACCAAGTAAATGTCTATTAAAGTTTACTTAATCTTCAGAAAAATGAGAGCACACTGTATTTTCAAAGTGTGACTGAGGATTCTAATTAGACTAAGTGGCCTGCTCTGCTGTGGCAGCCTACTCTGGACTCAACAGAAACACTAATTATACTTGTTATTGCAGCAAGTCATCAGGTTTTCTGCCCTTTAGCATTCCTTTGGATGAAAAAGGTCGATGAAGGTATGGACAAACTGAATAGTGAAGTTGCACAGTGACAGTAAATGAAGTAACTTATTTCTTTCAGCTGTATTGAAAAAAGCAAAATCTTCTTTTTACAAATAAATAAAACTAAAGGCTGAACTAAGAAAATGGAGTTACCAAAGAAAGACAACTAGTAATCATGATGTAATCTAAGGGGCTGAGGACATAAGGTATAAGATAAAAATCAAACTTGAGGTGTATACAAAAAGAGAAGAAAGATTATGGTCAATTTAGTTATGAAGTACTCTGAAAACCAAGGTATAAAAATCCATCCAATAATATAGCTTTCATGATAAAACTTCAGATGAACGAAAGAGTAAATAGAATTGTCAAGGTCATGAAGACTAGAGGGTAGAGAGAAAAGTCACAATATTGAGAGTGAGGTGTTAGAAGAAATCAGGGATTTTGTATTTAAATATTAGTTTATGAATGGGGGGAAAACTTCCCCCCAAAAAGACAATACTTTTTAAAACCAGAAAATGTTACCTCTTAAAAATCTCTTTCCTTTTTCAGCATGAATTTGTATTAGCTGTTGTCAGTGATTAAGTTCATTAACATTCCAAGCTATTTTATAAATTATAGTCTTTTATATTACTCACTTCTGATTTTTGCACAGTAAATAGTTAAATGATAAACTGATCTGTATTACCTGGATTGTTGTCTTTAATGGTAACTAAATAGAATAATCCTCTTGGTGAAAGGAGATCTGAAACCAGTGGAAAGAATCTGTCCATGACTTCTCGACCATTTCTGCCACCAGCCCAAGCTGCCTCAATTCCGTGATTTTCGACCTATGAACAATTAGAAAGACTGTTTTTTGTTTTTTTTTTTTAATTGAAACATAATTGGTTTTACATATCTGTGGGGTACACAGCTGAATATCAATACCTGTGTGCAATATGTGATGCTCAAATCAGGATAATTAGTATATTCAAGATTATACAACACAATCATTTTTTGTGGCCCTTTACCAATTCCTCACTAACTGTCCCCGCCAACCCCCTTCCCCACCTCTGGTAACCTCAGTTCTGTTCTCTCCTTTTGAAAGTTCAATGTATTATTGTGATTGTTGTATCTATCTTTATAAAATTTGTTCATTTTTTTTTTAGCTCTCACTTATAAGTGAGGACATGTGAAATTTCTCTATTTGTGCCTGGCTTATTTCACTTAACATAATTTTCTCTAAGTTCATACATGTTGCTATATTGGCAGAATTTCATTCTTTTTTATGGCAGAGTAGTACTCCATGAAATTGAGCTTCATGTAGATCACATACTGAATCTTTCTGACAAGTAACATCACCAAACAAGTATATATTTTGCATTTTACTGCTGACAAAGAGGCCGTAAAGCTGAATATGTTTCACATTTTCTAGTTTGTGTGACCTTGTGTGAATTACTAATCTTTGTGAATTAGTTTCTTATCTGTAAAGTTAGAAAAATAATAGTTCTATTTGTACCATTATTTTTATCCACTGTTAGGAATAAGTGAGACAGTATTTTTTTTTTTTTTTTTTTGACCAGTAAGGGGATCTTAACCCTTGATTTGGTGTTGTCAGCACCATACTCACCCAGTGAGCTAACTGGCCATTCCTATATGGGATCCGAACCCGCGGCCTTGGTGTTATCAGCACCACACTCTCCCGAGTGAGCCACAGGCCGGCCTGAGACAGTATATTTTAAGTTTTGAGACACTGCCCTGCACATATTAAGGGCTTAATAGTAGTTGTTACTATTAATACAATGCTTAAATTGAGACAAGAGTAGTTCTTGTACTTTATTATAAGAATTAGAAAGAAGCCAGAAGGGAGAATTTATACTATAAGAGATCTACCGTACAGAAACAAAGTTTCAAAATGTCCCAATGCATCTGGCTCTCTTCTAGATCACTTAAAGTATGAAACACATAGACCTTTTTTAGGAACCCATTTATTATATAAAGATACACTGAAGAATGTTTCCTCTAAAAATCTAATCATATTCTAGAAACAAAATCCATCAGAGTTTATGCAGTATTAAAAATCTTTAGATCCCATTGTATATTGTTTTCAAAATTAAAGAATATTTTGAAGGAATCACTCAAAAATTACTTTAACCCTAACACAACTGTTTTCTTCCTATTTCCTTCTATGGCCTTTGTCCAAATTTTAGTTTCAATTATTTATGTACAATCATGCCTTCTGGGCCGGCCCGTGGCTCACTTGGGAGAATGTGGTGCTGATAATACCAAGGCCACGGGTTTGGATCCTGTATAGAAATGGCTGGTTAGCTCACTGGCTGAGCGTGGTGCTGACAACACCAAGTCAAGGGTTAAGATCCCCTTACTGGTCATTTAAAAAAAAAAAAAAACAATCATGCCTTCTGCTTTTATTCATTTAATATGATATATATTTCCCCATTAAAAAATAATTCCTTTATAATCATACACACATATAATTTTATGAAGAGAAATATATTCATACAACTGCTTTAAAAGGTCCATATTTTAAATATACATAATTATACTCTATTCTTATCTGCATCTTGCTTTTCTCACTCAACAAGGACTAATGGAAATCTCTTCATGTCATCTGGTGTAGTTCTAATTCACTCTTTTAATGGCTGTATAATATTTTTGGTGGAAAAGTATCACATCTTATTTAGCTACTGATGGGCAGTCACTGTGTCCATTTGCTTAATTTTCTTTGAATCTAATTCTTTTTATTCTCATACCTATCATAAGCTTCTCAATATAACTTTCCACAAGGTTAATCATATTAGGAAATTTATCAGTTCCTTTGTTTTTCATCAATACTTTCCTCCTAGAAATTTCTCTTTCCTTTTCCTTCCCTTTACTTCTCTGGGTTGAAATCCCTCTTTTCCTGGGACTCATGTTGTCTTCTTCCTTTGTTTTCTACCTTATTTTGGTGGAGCCCATTCTCTGGATGTTTCATCAGGTAAGATGGTGTGGACAGCATGCATGGTGACGACAGCCCTGCCAGGCCTGTCTCTTGTCATTCTGCTCCAAAACAGATTAGGACTCTACTGTGACATGACTCCCAGGGGATGCTCATCCATATTCATCTGCTTGCGCTAGAGATGACCCTCCAGGAAGATCGCCTGGCATCAACCACCACCTTACAGGCCACAGAAGGGAGGTTCCCATGTTCATGAGGGAGCAGTCATGTTTGGTGGCCTTCTGTTTGCCTGCTACTTGGGCTAACTCCTGTGTCTACTCCTGATCTTTCACAGACCACAGGTACAAATTAATAGCACCATATTTCATATTTCTTGATATACTAGTAAGTATAGCCACAACTTTTTATAAGCACAAACTCCTATTATTTGTATATTATATCTCCTGGATCTAATCTCTAACTGTCTTTTACCTTTGTGATTTCCTTCTCTGTATTTTTATGCTCTGTGCACTAAAATATTTCTATCATTTGATTTCCAGACCACTGGTTCTGGTTTTGACAGTGACCAGATTCTATTTTCATTCATTTCCTAATGTTTTACTGTATAAAACATATTTTGTTTTTTCAGAGGAGGAGAAGAGAGATGTAAAGCACATCTTTATTGAAGCCTTCTAAGTCTTATTTATTTAATTATTTTTAACATTTACTTGTACATATTTTTTTTTTTTTTTTTTTTTTTTTTTTTTTTTTTTTTTTTTTTTTTTTTGAGCCAAGGCATTCCCTACACTCAATCGTCTGTATGTCCAGCAACTGTCAGGCTTATGAAAAGCACCCACATTAGTGCTAGGGACGTGGAGAATGGAAGCCCATTTGAGTCATCATGTTCCCAGGAACCCCTCTTCATACATTAGTCAGTCTTCATGGTAGTTTCCAGACCTGACAGACCATGGCTTACTTAACTGTTTCTCTTCTGTTACATACACAGGTTCACATTATTTGTCATCATAAATAAAGATGCAATAAACCTATTTTTGTGAATTTTAATTTTTATTCTATTGTTGAATAATTTTCTTAAATTAGATCTCAAGGACTGAAATTATCCGACTGAAACATTTTTATCACTCTTGATCTTTACTCCCATAGTGTCTTCCTAAAGAGTTTTATTAAGTCACATTTCCCTCTACTGCTGTTCACCTTATGACAATGACTTCCTTCCTTCTCATGTGAGATCATATATCAGTACAGCAAAAGCTTTCTCATTGCTTAACTGCCACTAGTAGTAATAGCAGCCAAATAGATCTTCCCCATCCTGGTGGAGAGGTGAATGTAAAGTTTATCGGCCTTGCGTGAGAATCACCATCAAAGAATAAAATAAGCACAATAATTAAAGGAAAGCTAGTCTTAATCCATTATTAAACTCTGTCTGCCTTGACCATTCCTGGGAAAAGATTAATCTGTTTTACCTACCATTACCCACATACACACACAAAAAAAACCGGGGGGTGGGGGGGGAAGAAAATATAACAACTATGCTTTTTTGAAGTTGTTGCAACAAGCAAACGGAAAGGACATTCTTGGGGGGGAGGGGAGAGAGGGAGGAGGGAGGGAGGTGTCGGTGATGGGCCATAATAATTATATACATTGTATATTGACAAAATAAAAATTAACGAAAAAAAAATTAAAAAAAATAAAATTCAACATAAAAAAAATAAAAAAATAAAGTTCCTCCATGCATTGCAAAAAAAAAAAAAAAAAAATTATATATATTTCAAGATTCTTTCTTTTCCCCTCATGAAATAAGAATTGGTCCCTCTCTCCTCCCACTTTCGGGTAGTAACTGTAAAAGGAGGAAACCTGGGACTTTGAGAAGGAATTCCTACATGAATTAAAGGTTGATTAAAAATATTTTGTTTTGCAAATCTGCTATTTGTGATAAAGTATATATATATAGTATATGTTCATATGATATACACATATAAACATGAACATATGAATTTAAACACCATGGCCTAACTTGGATGGGATTTTTTAGGGCTAGATATGGGGCACAAGTTCCTTTCCTATGTCTACCAATAGTACCCGATACTGACTATTAGAAGTAAAATCAGAACAGTCTGTGTTAACAGCAGCTGACTGATGTCATGTGATAAAGTTCATAAGATTTTAGAGACAAAGTAGCTGAAAATAATAATAAAATTTTGTTGCATGTATTACCTCTTCAGGTGGAGTCACTACATATGGGGGATTAAACACCAGAAGATCAACTTTTTCCTTCAATCTTGGTAGCAAGCCTTTGACCTAAATGTATTCAACAACAGTCAGAGTTTTAAGCTGGATTCTGAATTAAATAATTAATAAATAAATCTTTTAAAATACTCTATTAAAAAAAATGTGTTAGAGGCTCACACTTCTAGACAGAAATGAAAATATTTTACATTTTCATTCAGATAAAGATTATGTGCACTAAACTAAAAATAACAAATTAAAATTTATCAGAATAAACATACAACGTTCAGCAAAGCCTCTTGCTCTTCAGAACAGCACATATGTCTATATTCTGAATTCACTCTGAGAAGGTGAAATAAGAAGGAGGCAAGCTCTAATTCTGTAGCATGTATTCTGCATAGATTTGGACACAACTTTTCAGCTCTATCTGCTAACTTAAACATTTATTTTCTGTAACTAAGAGAAATGTTTTATGAGATTATAGAAAATGTATCTGAATAACAGAAAACATCAGAAGATGGATGTTTTGCTTTACACTTCAATTACTTACAAATGTATTGGCTGAAAGAACTGGATATCAATGAAAGAAAGAGTTGAAAATACTAGGAAGAGACACTGAAAATAGCAATTGTTTGGCATTTTGAAAATCTTTAAACTGGGTGCAATTTTCTATGGAAAGTACATTTAGGGCAAAGTATTGAAGTATTCCTCTGGTTGAGTTAAATAAATATTTTAAAAATCATGTTTGATGATGTTATCCTATGCTTTCGCAGGCATAAGTAAAGACACTGTATCTGAGTGAGTTTTCACCCCAGAACCATTTCATTCAATTATCACCTTATACTCTTTCTTATCCATGAATTCTGAGCTTGTTTCTTGAGATAGAATATTGAAATATCTCAAAGCAGTGTCCAAAACTTTATTTATTCACATTCTCACAAGTTTTCCCATATCTGCACAGGTACCTATCATCATCATTTACTGAAAATAGTCTTTAAATGGACCTTTCTTTGTTAAATAAGTTAGCTGTAAAGGGAAGCTTTACATTACTATTGTAAATGGAAAATCAGTATTACTTTCTTTTTTTTTGTGACCGGTAAGGGGATCGCAACCCTTGGCTTGGTGTCGCCTGCACCGCGCTCAGCCAGTGAGCACACCGGCCATCCCTATATAGGATCCAAACCTGTGGCCTCGGCGCTTCCAGTGCCACACTCTCCCGAGTGAGCCACAGGTTCGGCCTAGTATTACTTTCTAGAAATAGAAATGACTATAAGAATAAATGCAATACAGACAAAAAATGTTATTAAGTTATAGTTACTTGTTATCAGTCTCAGAATAATCCATGCCTGACCTCTCTTAGTTAAGGTGGCATTTGTAAGTGTTAAAAAGGTGTTAAAGGAAAGCATCAAACTCAGACCTTCTCCTTAATGTGATCAGAATGGCTAAGAGATTTAAAGGGGTAACAGCTTTTACATTATGTGATTCAAAGTTAATACCCAGACATACCACCTAAATATTGGACATATCGCTGGGCTAGTTACGTATATTACTATAAAACAATGCCTTAGAATTTCTATTTTATTGAGGTTTCTACAAGCAATCTCATTTTTATCATCCTAATAAGCCTGTTAACTCTGCAGTTCAAAGAAAATATATAAGTAGTATCTTTGTTTTTCTTTTTCTTTTTTTTTTTTTTTTCTTAAAAGATGACCGGTAAGGGGATCTTTACCCTTGACTTGGTGGTGTTAGCACCACGATCTCCCAAGTGAGCTAACTGGCCATCCCTATATAGGGATCCGAACCCGTGGCCCTGGTGTTACCAGCACCACAGTCTCCCAAGTGAACCACGGGCCAGCCCTAGAAGACAGTTTTTTTAAAAAATATGTGTTACGCATTTCCTTACGTACTTAAAACCCACCAAATATAATTTTACGCCACTTGGGAGCGCGGTGGCGCTCCCGCCAAGGGTTCGGATCCCACATACAGACCGGTTCCCGCTCACTGGCTGAGTGAGGTATATGATAGTTGTGGTAATCTATGCCTAGTCTTCTGAATATAGGCACGTATAAAGAGTTTGTAAATTGACTATATCTCTAGGCTCATGCCTACCTCTTGCTTATTTCTTTACCATGAGTCAGTATTCAGTATCACAGTCAACTTTAACTACCGAAGAACTGATTCTGGCATGGACAATCATCAGTCATGTCCTAAACAGCCATGGGACTTGTAGAGTTGGATTCCGAAGATCTGTGCTTAAATTCTGGATTTATCATTTTATTAGCTATGTGACTTAAAGAAATGAATTAAAAATTTAAAAAAATCACCACATTGATATTTAAATCACTTGAATACCTTTCTTGATACCCTAGTTTTTATTTGCAATAACAACTTCTAGAAATGTGAAAAGAATTTATTTCCTTGGCTTAATTCCTTCTAAGCTGCAAAATCATTTGTAAATTTTAAAAAGCAGGAAAGCTACTTACCCTGATCAGTGTAAGAATAATACAGGGCAAGGAGCAAAGAAAGCATTTTGTATTTCTTAAGTCCACCTGGGACATGCTATTATAATTTTTGCTTAAAAAGTCATTTCACATTTATAAGTAAAAAAAAAAAAAAAGAAACCCACCAATTTAGAATTATCCAAGTCTTATTAGTATAATCTAAAATATTTTAACAACAGTAACTTAAAAATGCATGATGTTAACTTCTTAAAACAACGGCTCTGTAGTCGTCATTTGCTGTTTTTACCTGCCCAGGACCCATTCCTCCTTTCTTCTGATTACATCTTCTTGACTTTTGTTGGGGAAGCTGTAGCTCCTGTTACTCTCAATCCAAGTGGCTTGGGTAGGGTTTATCCCAACCCAGCTCCTTGGCTGGGACTATGTCCCAGGTTGATGCCAGTTATCTCCATTTTCCAATCCCGCTTGGCTACAGGAGAGATGTTTTTTTGAGAGATAGGCATGTGACCCAAGTTAATCCAAACAATATTCATTCTGGAGCTTTCGTTAGAGTAACAGTAAAAGGGTTTCTTTCCTTGGAGAGTTGCTGAGAAATAAGATATAGACAAACATCTCGTTACCATGAAGGGAAAGACTGCCTTGGAATAGAGCCATCAGAGAGAAGTTCAATGCTAAAAAAAAAGTTCCTGTAACACCATTTGAGTTCCTGAAGCCAGCTGTTCCTGAAGCCATCCACTTTTTAAATTTAAGCCAGTTTGAATTGGGTTCACTGTCAATTCTGATCAAAAGATGCCCGACCTATACAAGCCAATATAAATACCCCTTTTTTTTTTAAAAGATGACCGGTAAGGGGATCTTAACCCTTGACTTGGTGTTGTCAACTGTCAATTCTGATCAAAAGATGCCCGACCTATACAAGCCAATATAAATACCCTTTTTTTTTTTAAAAGATGACCGGTAAGGGGATCTTAACCCTTGACTTGGTGTTGTCAGCACCACGCTCAGCCAGTGAGCAACCGGCCATCTCTATATGGGATCCGAACCTGTGGCCTTGGTGTTATCAGCACCACACTCTCCCGAGTGAGCCATAGCCTGGCCCTAAATTCCCTTTTAATTGTGGAGAAGACGGATTTTATCAGTCAGGAGTTACTTTGTATAGGGTATATTGTTTAGTGGGTCAAAAGTTAATTAATTACTAAAGTTTCTTTGACCTATAGCATCTTGACCTTAACTTATTTGAAGAGAAAATTACTATTGGACAAAGATTAGCTCACCAAATCTGTAATTACTGGTTGAATGTGGACTTTGTTACAGCGTGCTGTCTCCAGGGTACAAGCTGCTGCCTCAGGGTTGATATCAGTGCACCTATAAACAGAAAAGGAAAAATACTATATCTTATGTTCACAAGGCAAATCTGTTACTGAATAATTCAAGGAATGTTCCATTAATTCTACAAAGAGCAAATTTAGGAAAAAAAATTAGAATGTTTTAATAATGGCAAAGAAAAAGAGAACAAAAATTTGTTATACTGATAAAAAAGATTGTTATATATGATATAATGTCCAAGAGTAGAATTAACATACATGCACACACATCTGAAGGAATTTATTAAATCATAATACAGCCAATGAAGGAGTACTATGCAGCCACCAAAAATGAAATTTAAAAGGAACTTTTGATAAAAAATACTCATAATACAATATTACATAAAAAACATAGGAAATTAAAAAAATTGAAGGAAACACACTTTGACCCCGTGTGGTAAAATTTACTGGTGATTTTTATTTTCTTATTCATACTAGTCTATATTCTCAAATTTTCTTGAAAGAAATTTAAGTAACTTTCAATTTGTTCTGATAATCACATTATTTACCTGAAAGAACAGATTCAAATTTAGAGATGACCTAATATTATGCTGCTTTTACAATTATGCAGTATGATGGAACAGTTTTGAACATGAAGTTATAATTTTTAGGAAAGCACAATTTGCAATCTGGGTCCTTACTATACTTTAACACTATCAGATAACATATTGTCTACTTATAAAAATTATTTCATTCAGACAATCATACTAATAGTGAATCTTTCAGTGGAAGATATGGATGAATATGATATACTTACATGTATAAAGCTTGAGGACCAATCACAGAGGCCAGGAATGCAGATACCACACCAGACCCTGACCCTACTTCAAGGCATATTTCCACTCTAAAAAGACACAACAAAATAAATATTAGTACAGTTGTATTAAAATACACTGCAGGCTGGCCAGTTAGCTCAGTTGGTTAGAGCGCAGCCTTACAACACCAGCTGGTTCCCGTTACAATGTATACTTCTCCACCATCAGCACTTACCCGCAAATACATGGAAATATAAAAGAAATTTATAAATAATTTCTGACAACTACATCATGCTCATTTAATACTGCATAACTCAAAATTGCTAATATTGTGGGTGTAATATATTTAAAGTCCATAAATGTTATATATTACAAGAGGTGGCTTTCAATTAATTCCAACAAAACATTACATGAAAAAGTATGGGAATGATGTTAATATAGGGTTGGAAATTTTCTTTTTTTTTCATGTTAAAAAGGCCAGTACTTTATATTGATTTTAGTGGTACTGTATATACAATGGGGGGAAAAAAACACATGCATAGTCCAAATACAATGTTGAAAACAACATTTTTAAAACCCCTGAAGATTAAGTGTTAATAACCATGTACATGGATTCAAGGACCACTCTGTTGCACACAGTTTATTTAACAATATGATTTAAGAAGTGACTTGGTACTTTACCATTCTATACAGTGACTGAATCTTTTTGAATTTTCTTATAGTAATTATAGTGCATTTTTTTTTTTTTTTCTTTTTTGGTGGCTGGCCAGTATGGGGATCTGAACCCTTTGACCTTGGTGTTATAACACCAAGCCAACCAGCCAGCCTGGAAATATTAACATGAAAGACATCATCCGTTCTCACAAGGAACTCCTTCCTCGTTCAGTATTTCCTAAAATGATAGGGCTAGTATTATTACAAAATTTAGTTATAACAGAAGTTTCTCTATGATTTTTAAGTACCTAACATTCATAAATCTTGCAGCATATCCTAGTGAAAAAAGTCCCCCATTCTGATAATAGATTTTGAGCAGTAAAGAAGTTTTGTACTTGTACAGTTGTATGTTGAATTGGGAAAGTAAGTATCTGATATTATAATGTCAGTAATAATCTTAGAATGCTGTTAAATATAATAAAAATCTTAATTCTACTGTATTATACCTTTAAATTAATTTTCTTGCTTATAGTCTTAGGCATCAAAACTACCAATTATCCCCACTACAAAGATCCATTTGATGGCATTTAGGGGACTTTCTAGCACTTAACTCCCCAAATAATTACCCAACAAGCTCTAAGGGTTTCTAACTTTTGGAACCAGTCAGTCCACATATCTGATCTGACAAGGCTTTAATAGGTGGTACTAAGGGCTGTGAATCTTACCAGGTGGCTTCTCTTTGAAAATAACTATCATGGTCTCATAAATAATTAGAATTCCAATACTAGAAATATCCAAAACTTTATAACAAAATCAGCTCCTTTTACAGCCTACTTTGTAACGCAATTTGTGCTTGTAAATCTTTCTGGGATATCTTGAGAATAAAAGACAAGTTGTAAAACAGTACTGTTTCCCTCTATAGTCCAGTAAATCCAAAAGTTCCATCGTCTCCAATGAAAAATAGTTTAATAAGAGCTGGGGCATTTTATACATGGAATAAAATATGACCGAGTTTAAGAGGGATAAATAAACACAATATAAGATTTTTGAACCCTGACAGCTGTTTGTTTCATCTTGAGAAAACCCAGTTCAAGTCTTCATTTTTAAATAAATCTAACGACCAAATTCCTTTTATTAAAAAATTACAATGTAGGTATTCTCTTTTTGTTATTGATTTAAAATTTATGGTGAGCACTTCAACAAATCAATTTTAATAGTTATAAGGTGGTAGAGGTAGTTTCTATAGGCTGCAAGCTGCATGTAACTATTTAAATTCTTTAAAATTAATAGAAAAATTAGTAGCCACATTTCAAGTGCTCAATAGCCATATGTGGCTAATGGCTGTTGCTAGAGCTATTGATTGGGTTTAAAAATAATTCCCCACTCTCACAACCTTTATTTTTGTGCCCTTCTGTTGCTAGAGGGTGCTTTTTGGGCTGGGCAAATCAAATAATGCCACTAAAAATATTTACTAAATATTTATTAATATTTACTAAAAATTTTAATATTCATAAGTTTCTGGAATACTTTGTTTCTAAATGTGTTATACTATCGCCGCTCTTAGTGGCATGTGTGCTTCACATTAACAGCTGAAAGGAAGGACACATTACAGTGTGGTAAGGTAGCATGGACTTCATGAGCCCAAGGCAACACTTCGGCAAAAGAAGACAGATCCCCGGAACGCTCATTACGTGTATCCACGGGAAAATCCTCATTTACGGCGTTCTGCTGTCAAGTGAACCCACACCGCCGCTTCGGGCCGAGGGCGGCGACGGTTCGCTGGCTCTCGGCCGCCGCATCTACAGGACGCAAGCCTTCCCCCGCCCCGACCCTCGCTCTCCTCGCACCCCGCCAACTCCGCCGCCGCTGCCTCGAGCGCGTCCAGAAGCAGGAACGTGTCCTCGGCAGGCTCGTACACGTTGCTGAAGGCGCCACGGCCCACGTGCCCATACAGCGGCGTGGGGAAGCACGGAGCCGCCATCTTCCTCCTTTCCGTCCTGGGCGCATGCGCCGCTAATGCGCATGCGCACATGTTTGGGAGGGGCTCGGAAGCGGGGCGGGTGCTCCGGGGCGTAATGTCTCTTCGCGTATTAATTCAAAATTTGTAGACGCTCATGGAATACTAAGGAGACAGTTATATACTCTGCAGTTATTGACATTCTGTTTCTTTTGAGCATTTAAATTTATTTCGTTTTATAAAATAGCACCTTACAGTGGCATTCTCAGTTGTTTTTGAATAAGGTGAATGTTTCTTCATTACAATTTGACATTTTCTTGTATTGCTAGTTTACAAGCATTTAAAAAAATAATGATTACTAATTTTTTTTTTTTTAACATCAGCTAAACTTTAAGCCTTGGGCTTTAAGATTAAGATTTTTTAATTTATTTTTTTACTACAGTTTATTCCAAAAATTGCTTTCCTGATGTTGTATTGTTAAATGCACTCTTTTTATAAACCTTACTCAAATAAGATGATGCAGTTTTCTTTCAATACACTGCTGAATATGGAATGCTGTTTATCTCCCCCTGTGTCTTATCAGAATTAAGCCATTCTCACAGGATGAGGTGACACTTTTGGAACATTGAGTATAACTCATAACACTGGTTCAGCGTGGTACCTTTTTAAGTGGATGAATCTCTGACATTTTGGGGCATCATGTATGTCATTAAACTGTTCAAGCATTTGCTTTTTTTTGAGTCAATTTCTGAAATTTGTTTTGCAGTGAAACATTTTTACGTCTAGTTTCTTAAATTTGAGAAATAAAAATACAAGAAAGCACTTGAGTTACATTTTTTAAAAATCCTGATTACACACTACCCAGAATTGACAATTATTTGTGTTTTCTCATGTTTTCTTAAAATATATTTTAGATACAAGAACTAAAATATTGCAAATGAAGTGGATGTTCTTAGTTGTTGTTTTTAATGGTAGGGGGATTCCAAACCCCTGACCTTGCTGTTATAAGGATGCCCTCTTACCAACTGAGCTAACCAGTCAGCCCAGGACGTTCTTTCTATACTTACCCTTGTTCTGTAACCTTCACTCTAAGGTAACTTCTTTCATGGTTTTAGTGTGTATCCATCTAACCTATGTTTTTATGCTTTTAAATTCATATATTCACACCCAACATATGATTTATCTGTTTTAAGATTCATATAAGTAGTAACAGGATGGATGTATTTTGCAAATTTCTTTTTCACTCAATGTTATGTGGGATTTATGCTTTGATATATATATGTTAGTTTATGTATTTTAACTGCCATATTATTTTATTATATAAAAAAATGAAACATTTTCTAGCTGGAATGTTCTATTGGTAAACATTTAGTTCACTCCTGGCTTTCACTATTACGGACAATGCTATAGTTAACTTTCTTAAACACTGATTCTTCTGATCATGTACAAAGGTTCCTGGGATTCAACCCAGGGTGGGTCAGCTGGGTTTTAGTGTATCCACATTGTAGTGGATTAAATTATGTCCCCCCAAAACTCCCTGATGCTTGAATTGTATCTTCCAAGTTTTATGTATTAGAAACAGCCCCCACTGTGAGTGTTTGAGGGTGGGAAACCCTATTACGGTAATTGAAAGGTGGAGCCTTGAAGAAGTGTTTAGATTGTAGGATCGTGCAGTAGTGAATGGATTAAAAATGATGGTTATGGCATGGTTCTGAGGGCTTTAAAAGAAGAGGAGAGTCTGCCTCTCTCTCTGCTCTCTATGCTTCCACCATCTTGCAATGTGAGACCCCTGGGTCACTGTCACCACTACCAGATGGACTTTTGACTTCTCAGCCTCAGAAACTGTAAGTGATAAATTTCGTTTTTCTTTATAAAGCACCCAGTTCCGTGTATTCTGTTATAAGCAACACAAACGGACTAATACACACATTTTCTTTTTTTTTTTTTTTAAATTGATTATACATAGTCATGGGGCGCAGAGCTGACCGAGTGTATGCACATTTTCAATTTTCCTAGGCATTGCCTGATTTCTTTTCAAACTAATCGTGCTTATTTATACTCCTGCCACTCCTTGGTGGCAGATGGAACATTTAATTTAATATCTTAGACTTATTTTTTGTTTATTTTAAATTACTAATTGAGGTTAGGTATGTTCATCCTTTGAGTTTCTTCTTTTGTAAACCATCTGTTCATCTTTGCTTATTTTTCCTCTTTAAGATTTGTTTTTTTTTTTTTCATCAAATTCTTCCTGCCTGCCTTAGATTTGATATTGTTCTTATCTATCTTAGATTGGGCTACGTGGAAACAGACTCTGAGATGGAGATGTTCAAAGAGTGGAGGGAGAGAGAAGCAGGCAGAACAGAGGGAGAAGCTGAGCTGAAATGCAATTGCAACAAAGGCTTCAGCTGACTCTGCAGGGTGCTCTGGAGCTGAGACAATCCTTCAGGTTGTCCTGAATCCAAGCAAAGGAGCTGGTGTGCCTTTGGGAGAGGACATCACCATGGGCAAAGCAGCTTTCTTTCCTGAGGGCAGTTCCTGGAGAGGGACTTAGCTGTGACCTTTCAGCCACCAACAGGTGGTTGAATGGGTGCTTTGGTCCCTAATGGGGTGCAGCAAAACACCCACTACATGATTTCTGCCATTTTAAAGGAACTTTATACTTCCACCTAATATATCCTCTCTTCAGCTGAATATATTCTACTTTCTGGCTTATGTCTTGGTATTTTTATTTGGTGAGCATATTATTTTCTTTTTTTTTTTTTTTTTTTTTTTTTTTTTTTTTTTTTTTTTTTTTTTTTTTTTTTAAAA